TATATAAAGTAACTAAAATTAAAACAGTAAGGAAGATCCAGGACATTACATCTCTTGACTGTTGAGCTATTACAGTATATTACAGTACATTACTTGCCATTTGCTTCAGACGTTTTACTGATCCAACATCTACATTCTCCTCCAGAACCACGTACCCAATCAGCGGGTCTAAGATAGAAGGATGGATCTCCGTACTGAATCAGCGTACATAACTACTGCTAACGGCTAATGGCTGAGGTCAGGGTTGTTAGCGCTGTTGCCTCACACCTCTGGGACCAGAGATCGAGGCTCCGCCATGGCTCCATGTGTGTGGAGTTTGCATGATCTGGTCATGGGGTTTCCTCTGGGCACTCTGGTTCCGCAGCCCCACAGTCTGAAAACATGCTGAAGTTAACTCAAGTTACCAAATAGCTCCTAGATATGAGTGTACCCTGTGATATCGCCCCCCTCAGGTGGGGGAGGGAAGTGCAGGTTTTTGGGTCTGCCTGCAGTTGCCACTGCTTTTGATGATCCGCTTAGTCCCGTGGGAGCCTTAGGGATGTCAGGAGAGGAGGTGCTGCAGCATCTTAACAGCACTTGACTCAGTATTTTCTATTAGAATATCGGTGCGTGATATTAATTAAGCTCAATTTTGCTTAGCGACATTCACAGAGCTGTTTATTGGCAGTTAAAATGTTTAACGCTGACAGACACGTCTCCTCGGAGTGACAGATAAACTCACGCTCATGTTGTTTGTCATAATTTTATTCGATTTAATTTCCCCCTAAAAAATGCATTTAACGGCGCTATCAGCTGCGCATAATTATCGCCCTCAGATCGCCTTGGCTGCAGCCTTCTCCAGATTGCGTCCACGTCTCTTCCCTAGCATGCGGGCACTTCGGCGGCCTGCATGAGCGGCAGGCTAGCTTCCGCCGCCGCTCGCCATCTGCTTGAAGCCCGCGGACAGGAGCACTGTAAGCTGCGGCGAGCCTCGCCGACGCTCGATTCCCCGTCTTCCGGAAAACGGAGCCCAGCACGTGGTTCGCCATTTGGAGAGCGGGTTCCTGTTTGTCCTGAGAGGATCTGGTGCAGACGCCTCCCTTTGGTGACTGAAACTGTATATATAAATCTGGTATGTACAAATATATGTGTTTTTGGCCGGTAATCGCCGCAGGTTTTGCCGTGTCCCACGCGTGCGCGTCGTAGACGTCCACGGCAGCCGACCGAAGATGAAGCGTGGCACAGACGCCGGCCGTCTCCCATCAGCGCTGAAGGAGCCGTCAGGTTTTTCCCAGGAAAGCACAGCGACGCCTGGATGGCCAGCCTGCGCCACTGTTAGTCAGCGGAAAATACCGGCCTGGGCTCCGTTTACCTGCCTTGCCACCTGGCGTTCTGCGGGACGCTGCGTGAGATACGCCCACTTAGAACCGGCTCATAAGGAGGGAGATAAATGAAACGTGTACGGGGGGGTCGACTGACACGTGTAATAAAATAGCGAGTGTGTTAAAAGCATCCCACTATATTTACTAAACACAGTCCATGGTATTTGCATACATTAGCTACAGTATGAGCATAGCCTGGATGTTGGCTCACAGTACGACACCCTCAATGCCTATATAATTATGGGTGTGTGGGATTATGCAAAGTGACACAGGAACAACCTAATAAGATTTGTTGAAGCTGACAGGGACTGCAGTAGGTAACAATATGCGATCATTTGGAAGGGTTTGCGTTATGCCTGCTGTGTGTGAATTCATATGTTACTGTGATGTTATTACGCGGCACAGACTAACGACTGCCAAATCCCTCATAAATTATTTTAAAAAAAGAACGCAAAGGGAACAAATAGATAATTGAATCTCCTTTCAGAGGTCTGAATATCTTGCTTTTAAGACGCCTGTACTAGTTTGGTTTAATTAGTTTTTTTTCCCCAGGTATGTCAGGTACTAATTAGTAGTGGGACAAAGACAAACAGGGTTTTGTCTGTATTTTTCACAGAGCAATGTTTGTTGTGTATGATCTTATTTTTGGACCTCTTTGATCAGAGACGTAAGTGACTCCACCGTCGCTCCCCAGTTTGATGGAGGTGGGGGGGGGGGTGGCTGCGGAGGCCTCCTCACTGACACGCCGATGAAAACAGGAGATATTTCACCCCACTGCTCGTGGAGGAATTCGCTTCGGCACGTAGCTGAGGCAGGAACACTGTGTGGTAGATGCAGCCAGTAGAGAGCCTATGACAGCTGGTGCCCGCGCCCGGCAAGTAATGAGGGTCTGTTCTGCGGCCGCAACCGCGGTGAGAGTGCAGGGAACCGCCGGCATATCACGTCAATGTGTCCGGTGCCATGCCAATGACACGCTGCTATCTGGAAGTCAGAGTCGTACCTGGGAAACAGGTGGCAGGCCCTGTGTTTTAGGGTCCGGACCCCTGACTAAGGGCCGTCCCAGTCATTGTGAGGGATTATACAGCTGAACAGAACCTGGGTGATACAGTACATGAGTCATTCTTGTGATATGGGTCAGCTAGGCTATTAAAAACAAGAAAAATCCTTTTGAAATTTTCTGCAAATATCTGCAGGAATCTCATGCATGGTTTCAAAGCGAGGAGAATCGGTGTCCTTCCAGCTGACGTTGTGCCAGGGAGCTTGTGAAAGGTTCGACCCTCACTGCTTTCACAGAACATGAACCCAAATGTTTAAAATCTTTTTTAAAAGTTTGTGGCAAGGTTAACATTTGCTATTTCCCTCCGAAAACCGCCGAGCGACCTCGGAAAATGTCGAAACAATTCCGTCTGCATGAAGTGTTCACCAGTGGTCTCTCCATCCACAATTGGTGACCCCAGCACTTTGAAAGATACAGCGCTGCACGTTTGTTTTCAAAGAAGCTGTCATCTCTGATGCCCGTGAACGCCGGCGAAGGCGACAGACTGGCCGTTGGTGGAAGAGGGGAGGGGATCGTGTTTCCCAAAGATGCCCTTTAAAACTCTCCTCTGTGGCTAATTATGAAAGCAACACATGCAAAGTGCGGATTGAGTTATTCGCTGACCTTGGGGGGCCGGCCGCCTGAACAGCCAGCAATTATCTGACGCCTGGCAGAAGCTCTTTCCGATTGAGTTTGGCGTCTCGCTGCTGACGGCTAAACATTCAATGGCGTGAAGTCAGCACCGCGGAAGTCTGTCACCGCTGCCAGTCACCCCAAGCTTGACAGACCCTTTACGTGTAAGGGACTCTCCCTGCTGTTTCCCGGGGCAACTGCTTTATCGGGTGACATCGCTTGCTTTTAAAGTTACCAGGTCCGTTGCTTAACGCTTCAATTTTAATTGCGTATAAATATTCATCGCCTTGGCTAGTGTGGTTAAAGGCGTCTCCCGGTCCCTATGAAGGTTCCTCAGTAGCTGTGCTTTCACTGGATGCCACTGCCGGTGCTACGACGTTCTAGCCAAGCGGCACATGCCTTCTCTTTGAGCTCACATTATGCAAATGGCCGCAGGGCTCCATAGACCGCATGTAAATGGAGAACATGAGCTCGTCTGGATGAAATTACAACCATAAATCTGATCAAGGCCGTCCTCATCATCTCGGCGGCGGGGAAAGCGTGCCTGTTTGTCCTCACATCGCCGATGTTTCCTTCATTCATCAAGCTGGCGTGTAAGTAAAAACCTGTCAGAGATCTTCATTTCTGAGAGACGGGGAGCATTGATTGTAAAGGGAATTACCGGCACCTTTGCAAAAAGCGTAATAAATGTGGACACTTTGCTTTGGAATGACATAGGGATGCTGGCATGCAGGACTGTTTTTCTGTCCATTCATTCATCCACCTGTTCACTCACCCATCCATCCATCCATCCATTTTCCATAACATCTTATCCAGTAAGTGAGCCTTGACCCTCTCCCAAGAAGCAAAGGGCTTGTACCTGGGGAGACTATGGGCCGGAGACCAGTCCATCACAGAGGTTCGGTGACATTCAAGAAGGATCAGTATTTGAAATCCTCACTTTGGACTAATACCACTGCTACATGCCCAGATCATACAGAGGCATATAGCAGAAAGCAGATTCCCCAGTTTTGCGAGCAAAGCGATCCTCCCTGCTATGGCATAGAAATACAACATTAAAATGAAAGTAGAAGCCTGTTCGGTTGTGGAAGCAGACTGTGTAGCGCTAAAGGAACTGGCTGACAGTCAAAGCAAAGGCCTCGCGATGTTTATGTATTTCCACAGTTTGCTGCTGTGCCCCATTTCACAGTCTGGCATTCTTAACCTCGGAGTAAAGAACCTTACCCAGACTGTGTCAGTAAACATGTCGAGCTGGATTAATAGCTATAAATTGCTGTTCATTTTAATAATGGACTTGGTTGTATTTGTCTTTGCTGTTCAAAGAGGGAGAATGGCATTGTGGGAAGTCAGATATATGAAGTCCCAGGAGGGGGCCTCTCTTGAACCAGGTACCTAATGCAAATTCCTTCATAAGCATCCGCCTAAATAAAACTTAAAATGCATGCTGGGTAAGTTCTTTGAATAAATATGCCCGATAAGCATTGCTGTGCAAGCATCAAAATGATCATCCTTTAAAATTTTGAGGACCTCTTGGGCTGAGCTCCCCCCTCCCCTCCCCCAAGCTCTTGAAAGTGGTTTTCAAGAGAGCTCCAGCTCTTCGAGAAGCCTTCAAAGCCAATTTGACACAAACACCCAAGACCTGCCCCAGCAGGGCCGCAACTGCATCCCGGCAGACGTGTAAACACGATGGCGGATACATTTTTCATCGTCCAATCCGTAACAGGATATGGGCGTTATGTGTCACAAATCAAATTTACATGGATTCCCTTTAATGAACCAAGCTGGGAGCCCCCCCCCCCCCATGTCTCCCTTAAGCCAACCTCACTGTGCTGTAAACAAGCCCAATAACAGAAGCAAAACAAGCCTGTGAAGCAGGTGTATCGGTGATAGATATGTCTGTCATTTTGCCCCAGGATTGAATATGAAGCAGAAACAGCCAGAAATAAAGATGTTCAGAAGGTAAACTCGGATTTATTGAAAGGAAATAGGTTTCTTTAGAGCCCTTCGTCCTTCCTTTGACACAAAATCAAAATGGCAGTTACTTCTCATTGCCTTAATTTGTGTTTTATGATACTTTTACACTTTTACATGGTTTGCTCAAAGTATAAAATGGTGCTGGGTCCTCCGCCGCATTGACCCCTCGGTGTCAGTCATGGGGTTCTGTCATCGCTGCCCCGTGTTCAGCCCAAGACATGGTTCCACGCAAAGGGGTTTTTGAAATGTAGTTGGTGGGCGGCGATGCATGTCTTCGACGGCTGGGGACAGATAGCATAGAAAGTGATTCCAGAGAAAATTCCCTTCTGTTTTACAGTACTTATCGGTCACAGAAACATATTTAAACTTGGAAAGCGCCCACCCTCCATATTGCCCAGGGACTTGCATTTATTCTTTCCTGTTAACAGAAGGAGAGAGACTATGCCTCCCCTTACATGGGGTTACATGAGTTAGCGCAGACAAGTCACTGTTGTGCATTTCCTTCCCCATAATTTATTATCTTTGCCTAATATGAAATTGCCTTCGCTCTACATATAGATGCGCCTGATTCATCCATGCTGCTTCAGTCCATAATGAACCAAGATATAACATATCGATACAGCCGTCAATGTAAATAACAGTTCTTAACAAAGGGAGGGAGAGCAGAAAACATTTTCAGATATTTCTTTGCAACTGAAATGGTTGATTAGACATAATGAAAATAAGAAGTCTGGCAGGCAAATTTACAAAGGCCCCTTTTAATGTCGTTCAGAAAAGTCATTATTATTGATGCGAGTGCCTCTCTTGCTGACTCCGGTAGGTATATTAGAAACATTCAAGAAAGTTTATACATCCATCCCAAGCAAAAGCATCCAAGCGTAACATGCTAAGCGCAGTCCTGCAGTGATCGACTCCCTAAATATGTCACGTTCTCACTGTGATGAGGAGGACTTTGCGTCGGCTGGCTCAGTTTGGCGCCGCACACCTGTGAGCGCCTCCTACAGCCCTGTCAGGTGCCCGCGGGCTGCCTGTCGGCTCCAGTGACAGATGCACTGATTCTCCAGCTGGCACCAGATGTCCTGGATTGCGTAGTGTGACCTGCAGTGTGTAAAGAAAGCACTGGGCTGGGCTGCAGTGGGCTGGGGGGGGGGGTGTCTGATTTTCCTTTGGGACGTGGAGACAGGCTCCTGCGCCATCAGATCCACAACCAGAAACTACGACTCAGAGCAGGGAGAGAACATTATAACCAAAGCTCATAGCGGTCAAAAGGACCCTAATTCATTATCCTTGCACAATTATTGCCTACAGTCAAGTAAATGCTCAACATCTTCACCAATGCTTTGTATTTTCTGAACATTATAATCATATAATTGTACTTTCCAACCATCTTGCATAAGTTTCTGTACTGTTCTGGTACAAAGTTACGGTAATCCTTGGCTTTTAATCTAGCTTGAGACTGTTCTTGTATTTGTTTTGATTTTGTCTGCTCTGAATGTGTTTATTTAACTTCTGTATATTTTTTTATTAATTGTACAGCACTTTAGTCAACTGCAATAGTGCTTTATGAGTAAAATTGGCTTGACTTGATCCTGGATGCAATCCTAGGATGAGATGCTAAACTGTTGAAGAGAATATACTAAGAGGCACTGATTTAACTAATCATATGTCTTCCCCACAAACGCAGCGAGAGCATGGAAACTCCACACACACTCACAACCCTGGAGGTGTATGAACACAGTGCCTCTAGACCACTCAACATTGTAATCTGTTTGAGATTAAATAAATGAGTACCAGTTAAAACATGCCAGAGTAGTGGTTTTACCAGGATGTCATCCTGGGGTGGATATTTGGGTACGTTGGGTTGTATCGGATTGTATTGGAGGTTCCGGGGGGTGTAAAAGCTGTAAACCTGGGAGGAGGGGTGGTGGCGATGGTAAAAGTTGATGATCGGATCCTCATCAACTCCAGTCACTGTAACACTCTAACACTCTAACACTGTAACAGGGACAAGGGAGTACTGATGTACTTCAGAAGTATGTACAGTATGATGCGAAGATGAAATTTACGTTAAATTTCTCGTTATACATTATCTATTGTGTTGTCACTGTGCCAGTGTTCTCCCAACCGCGACGCTATTTTGGGTCATACAGGGCAAAGGCGTATACGGTGTATGGGGCACCAGCAGCCAGGCCAGTAGGCAGGATGATCGATTTTCTGGAAGCCCCGGCACCGTCACACAGCTGCTTCATTATCAGCGGTCAGAGCAGCTTCCTCATGCCCTCTTCGCAATTAAGGGCGTAAATACGATTTTTGATTTAATGTGGCGCTTAATTGAGGAGACACGCTTGAACGGACATAAGGTCGCTTATGCACGGACGGCTAAATCGCTGACAGATGCCGTGACCTTGTGCTATGAGTTCTGCGGCGGGGCACTACCCCCACGCTCTACCCCACGCTCTATCTTCTTCTAGAACCACAAAGTCGTGTGCAAGTGGCATTTATCAGGAGAGGCACGAAAAGCCAACTTCAGTCAGATCATTTGATTTCCAAACTCAGGCGTTGCCATGTTACGGGTTGCTTGGCGCTGGCAGCATCCCGCTATCACCGTGTGCTGAATGGCAGCCAACGCATTCGATTATTCGCATCAAAGCTGGCTCCGAGATGAAGGAGACTTTGCTACTGGCAAACCGTTAGAACATATGAATTTTCCCTTTTGTTCCTCTCGTCATGAGCCAAGCCCAAATCTCTGAATGCTTGTGGCGGACCTGGAGGCCCCATCTGTGAAGTGCATTCATGGCCTAGGTGAAGGACCCATAAAGTTGCCTCTGGAGTGGGCTGGGAGATCCGAGTCGATGCTCGAGCCTGATAGCGTCTCCCGCAAATAAACCAATAAAGGGATTCTGCTCGTCACAAGCCGCCAGAGCGCTTTGCCCTCTTTCAGAGTGAGATATCCATAAATGCGGCGAATAAAGTCCGTCCGCCGTGCTGAAAGCTGCTCAAGCCTGTCTCCAAAACCACATCCCGCTCCAGGGCTGTCAGATCAAGAGGCGAGTTTTTTTCCCCTGCTGACGGTGTCTCCGGCAGAGCCTCTTAGGCCAGAGTCACTCGGGGTCTGGGTGCTAAATTATTTGGCATCCCATAATTACGCAACGTATCGAGAAGAGCAGCTTGTGAACTTTTCCATTCCGAATTCCTTTAAATTATTGATGAGTGCACCTGGCTCTTTTCAGCTCTTAGTGATTGATAGCAGACAGTGATAGGGCACTGATTAATACCTACTTCAAGAATGTTATGTGAAGGGAGCTACAGTTATTATTTACATGCTTAGAAAAGCTTTTATCCAATCAACATGCATATCTTTTTTACATGTATTGATTTAGACAGCTGGATACTTTACTGAAGCAATTCATGCTCAAGGGTACAACGGCAGGCTTTTTTGGGAGTTCTTGGGCACTTAAGCATCGCGCTACCATCTACCAATAGCACTAAAATTAACACCCCCTCCAGTTTCAGAACTACTACACAATTACACTGTAAAACACCATTTCCATGTGGTTCTTTCTGGTGGGGGTCACAGTGACCATTAATATTGAGAAACTGAGTGATTCATTCAGACAGTATACCAGGTATGTGGGCCTATATTCAAACATATATAATGGACAGTACTTTATCAAAACTGCTCTGAATACATGAGTATATTATTGCCCTATTGGTGGCTGTAGTCATGAGCCACGATTTAAATTTGCATATTCTCTTAGCAGCATCCAATGGCGTAGCCCGACGGGATAGGATGGGATGGGCCCAGTGCTGCCCACTCTGCAGACTGGTGTTTGGATATATTCAGATTAAATGATGATGCATGAGACCAATAAGACACCGTGAGTCATGCCAGGGAATATGAGCCACAACAAACAGCATCATTACATCCCAGGCTTTTCCTCCTCTTACCTTACAGCCGTCTTTCCCAATCCTGTCGTTGGAGACCCCTCCAGTCAGTTCATGGTATTGCATCCTCCCAGCTCCCTACCAAAATTGTGGACTGTCTGGGAGGGAGCAAAAATGTGGACCATGTGAGGGTCCCCGGGTTGGGAATCAGCGCCTTAAAGTAACAGCAGTAACTCTCCCAGTGTTCACTGTTGTGGGACCTTCTGCCTAATGGCTAGTCTGCACAAGGTGTCTTCATTAAAAAACATGCTAGTACATTAAGCCAGCAGTGACGATGGGCCCAATTACCTTTGGCACTGGTGCCGCTCTTCCACTAGTTGCACAAATTAATAATTGCGGAGGACTGGCATCCTGTTGAAGGCGTCCCCTGCCTCACGCCGAGGACGTTCTCTGACAAACTCCAGACTGATCACCAGCCCGGATGGGAGAAGAGGCTATAGAAATATGAAGGAAGGATAGGCATGCTTTAGCAAAGAAGCACTTCCCGATGAAAAGAAACTCCCCTCCGGAGTGAAAGAGAAACACATTTATATTTCAAGCAATGATTAGATTGATAGACAAAATGAAATGAAGGAAGCAAATGGGGAAAAAAGACATGTGGTGCAAGTTTGGGCTTCTTAACTTACCAGGGGTGACAATTCTGCCGAGTAGCATAAGGTGCAGCTGCCAGTGTTCCAGCTTCTGTGTTCAGCCCCCCCCCCACCCCCAAGCTGACACTGTCATCTAGGTCCACCTCACACTGGAGAGCGCTGGCTCCTTCGTTTGCCTGCATTAGCTGCCTAAGAATTCCGTCACTCTGATAAATCACACTGCCTGAGTGATGTACAAACACTTCCAGTGAGATTTATTAATGAATCTTTAGGGCAACGGATCCGATTAAATGCACCTAATGGCACTGCCAAATGTCTGCGATATGAGCGATTTACACCCAGTGCTCCATCGCTGGGGTGTCGCCGTGTGCCCCCGCTACTCGGAGACCACTGTCTCCCGCTAAGAATGCTGGGCGGGGGGGGCGAGGACAATGCCTGTGCATTTCCCGTCGGCACGGCCACTCAGGAGCAATTTTAAATTGTCACTGTTTGCAGATGCTTCCGGAAAGAGCCAGTCTACCCTAAAATTAATACCGCTGAGATAAATTAGGGCAATAAATTACTGCTTGTGCTTTAAAAAGTGATCTTGAATTACACTTTTCCAAATGCTTTTAAGAGGAACGATTAAGAAGCATGCCTAAATTGCAGGCCCCTGCAAGGACCACAAAGAAGAAAGACTTAGCATCTGCTATAGTCTAGCATTGCACACAACAACAGTTATTATATATTAAAATACTTAAGTGATCATTTCCTTAGCAGGAATCTGCTTCCTCTTCGTGTGTCACTTTATAACATCTGCATTTAGCCTTGCGGTTGCTTAGCTTAAGTACTGCTGCTGGAGGACGGAGAGGATGGCCCGTTTTCACGCTGTGGCTCAAAATCAGCGCCGCCTTGTTGTTGCTCCGCGTGCAGCGAAGCATTATGATAATGATATCATCAGATTGATAGCTATTCTCCTTGTCGCGCTAGTCACCATCAGGCCCTAAATGATATTTAAATGCTTCTGAAATCAGTTAAATTTGCTAAAAGTAGGTCAGAAATGTGGGAGATACAGTCCTACTTAATTAGTCAGATACTGTATGATAAAGCTTCATTGAGCATTAAAAAAAGAGGATGAACTGTATTTGGTATCCCTCGGCACTCCGGAGCCTTGTCCCTGAAGCTGCCCGCCCCATCCCCTCGCCTCTTTGTTCCGGTAAACGCGGCGCACCTTTCCCGCTCCGATTTGGCATGGCTACGCATCTCTCTCGTCGCAGAAATTAGCTGGCCTGACATTCTTGTCTACACTGCCATGCTTGTTTTTATTTTTATTTCTCTTTTCCCCCGAAGCCCTTATGCTCTGCGGGGTGTATGAATGCAAGGAATTATTTGCAATATGGAAACTTTAATTATGCTATAATATCATTGTTTCTTTGAAATTACACGTCGTCTTGTCTTTTAAGTGCCTTTAGTATCTCTTTTTTCTTTTTTCTAATGATGCTCTCTGTCCTCCTGTTGGATGATGGAAACAGATAGGCCTGGTTTCAATCTGCAAGCTTCAGTGGGCTTGGAGACGACGCTAACAAAATCGTAGACCACCGCATGAGACCCTTAAAGAATTTAAAGCGAGTAATTCTTTGAGACTTTCCCATTTAGATCAGGAGACAGAGATGGCTGGGAGCTAATTAAAGGTTGGGGTTTAAAGTACCATGTCAAACAAGACTCAGCATGTCCGTACCTAGAGACCCTCAGCACAGACAGTGACCAGCCTCCCTGGTTCTTCTGCAGCACATACGCCTCTCCCACCACTGTCTGCTCTCCTTAACCTCTGCATGAAAGAATCATCTCTGCAGTTAGCCATGTGGCTAACGTTGTGTTCCTGAAGCTGAACGCCGCTGTGTACAGAGAATTAGCGGGTGCTAAATGAATGTGGAAGCAACAGTGTTAATCATCTCCTTATCCTTGCATAAATCAGCCTTTATGGAAATCGAGAAAAATAAATCATATATCAACATATATCTGTACGTAAAAATACAGTCCATTACCAGCAGCACTAATACACTGGTACAGTGACACAGCAAATTATCTAAAGAGTAAATCAATCTTCGGATTTCATTCTCGGTCAATGAAATAATCAGTCCAACACAAGGCCCACTTACTGAAGGTACTGTATTAAAGCGGCTGCTGAAGATTACCTGCATTGATTGTCAAGCTTCAGCTTAACCCATAATGTGCCGGAGACAATGCAGGTACAGCCCATATTGGCATTTTTCTGCTTGTGTAGCACAGATCAAATTATCTGTTTTAGATGGAAAATGAGCAAGACACAGTGTTTGGTACATATTCATAAAATTAATTACAGTAATATAACGTGTTAAATTATACACGTATTTTTTGGTGTTTGTAATGGGCTCAGTGTACTTATCCTAATTGGAATTTAGGTTGTCATACAGGAAGAGCAGTCTGAAGATATTATTAGGTGAATATAGAGTTCAGAACAACGTGCTTAAAATTAATTTCTTGTAAATGTGATATTCAGGGTATGGGTGAATATGCTAAAACCTTTTTAAATGGGAATATTTAAGTCAGTAATGAGTCAATGATATTTAACGTGTGTCACTAATATAATCCTTTCCCCGATTTAAGGATTATGTTTTAAGGATTATGTCTGATATTACGTAATATCATCATTATTTACAGAGAAGTAGGTACAAACAATTTTACATTTGAAATGAGCCATGAATATGCGAGCGAGGGTTATTCCTGTAATCCGCTGCCCCTGAAAGTTTGTCGTGAGCTTGTTGTCTAGTCTAAGCATGAAATAGTGTCATCTGTGTGACTCCATCCATGTAATTGCATTTGCAGAATTAAACCCGGATAATTTTAACAAAATTATATTGTGACTGACAGAGTCAAATGATGTTCCTGGAGAATATATCACCTGACAAGTATAACATACAACTCTGTTGGCCAGAATTTGAACAGTTTCTTGTTTTCTTCAGAATACCCAACAAACTCAGTGGTGCAACAGGTGACACGTGTTAAATGGACCATCAGTTGCTAAGCAACTATTTTTTTCTGCCCTATTGGATGTAGTACTCTAATTGGACTACAGTTCACCAAATATCTTGAATTCTCATAGATTCAATAGGTATTCAGTGAAGCAAAGTAAAGGACATTTCAGTAGTCATTCAGACTGAATTAGAAGGTGCGTTGTTGCATAGAGAGGTATGAATGCCTACTAGAGTAATGACATTTTCCTTTGAGACAAGGTCATTTATTACCACCCCCCACCAAAATGGACCACCAAAATCCATGAATCCTGATGTTGCATTTATAAGGTTTGAAGATGTCTACTTTTTGAAGGATAGGTTGACATGAGTTATTGTAAGGGGAAGAAAGCATATTTGTTTTAATTTTAGAATTGATTTAGTCATAGTGTACACTACAACCCGATTCTGATCAAGTGTACACTTTGTCCATTTACTGCCAAAATTAAACATAAATTCAAATACATTTACATGCATCATCTTTCCAGTGGATTAGGCCTGGATTTCCACTTAATATCCATTTCATACCTTCTAGTACTTATGAATTCAACTTTTGTGTTTTCATTTTTCTCGGAAGCAATCCGGCCTTTTTCATTTTGAAACAATTCTTCTAGCTGGTTATCAATTACTTTTGAAATCAGCTGCATGCATATTAGTCAATGCCTTCTCCTGTTAGGTTGATTAATTGTTCCACACCTGAAGCTGAATCACTGATTAGATACAGTATAAAACAGGCAGACATATGATACATACATACAAATGAAATGTGTTGTGAAAACCTACGATGCAAATCCATGTTACTCTTCTTTGGCTGAATACATGTAGATATGTCAACATGAATAATACATATATACGTGCATGCATATATTACTCTGTAAGTCCGATTGCTATTTTAAATTGTGGTAAATGGTGCTGCAAAGCTTGCAGGCACGTTTAACCATTTGCTGAATGGCTTCATAATCCTTACACATCCCCCTCGGGTGCGAGGCGGTCAATTTGTTACCGGGGCGACGTTCCCCCCGAGGAGATGAACAGGCCGTCGACGCAACACCAATGCCACAGCCTGGCGGGAGATGAATCTTTGATGAAGGCGAAATTAAAACTCTGCAAAGGAGAGGAAAAGGGGGGGGGGTGCAGTGGGCTGCTGGGAGAGACAGAAATTGATGTTCTCATGAGTCTCAGGGCTGAACACAGAGCTGTCATGGAAAGACACAGCGCTGGGTAGGCAAGCAAAACAGCCGCAGCGTTTCGGTGGGACGTACTTGGAAGGGACAGTGCCATTCTGCTGGTTGCGGCGGGGGTGAAACTCTCCGCATCGCTGCCCTGTTTTCTCGTCTAGCCAAGACACAGACCACGAGGAGCGCAAATCAGACCTCCCAAGGCAACTGTCCTTAACCTGATTGAGCAGCATCTGGAGGCCCACGGCTGTAAAAATACCATCACCGTGCCCCGTTTCTGATTGGCTTACCTTTCCCCTGGAGTGGAATGAGCCGGCATAAGCAGGACACGGCTCTCGGTAATGAGGCCTCTGTGATCCTGTAACTGCGTGGATCCCCAAAGCCTGTGTTCAGACCATCTGTCTCCTGCCCACCTCCTGCGCACCTCCTCCGCCAATGCTAGGAGGGGTTCCCGCAAACCGATGACCACATGGAGGGACACCGAGCCTAACAAGAGGACTTTTGTCGCCGTGAATCTGCTTCCTTGCCACCGGCTCAGCAACAGGTCCAGTCATTGTGGGAGGGGGAGGGGAACTCTCCAAACATGCAGGAATCCATTTCACGCCCATCGCATGTAGCAGTGCCATCACATTAGCGGGTTAAATATTTTTAATCAAATATTGAACTCTGAGAGCCTTTCATTCCTGATTCCTCTGCACCACCCCATTACTTATTGTAAATGCTCTGAAGTCAAAATCAATTTAACTGATTTCTGGTCCACGTTCATGAATCAAGTTTTATACGCACCTTGGGAACCTTTCGCCGTTCCTGAAGTCGAATGGATTCTGCAGAACTGGCAGTTCTCTGTCAAAGTTTGTCTCCTAATTGGGCATCAGGTGGCATTAGGGTGGGAGCAGAT